TTAACTGCCTACTATAAGTTATTGATACTAAATACAGCTAACCTCTGAAGACTGTCACTGGCAGTCACTGCTGGTCCCCCGGTTGACTCTCCTTTAGGTTCTACTCCATGTCACAAAGAGTTCAAGTAGGGTTCAAGGTCAATTCAGTAATTCACCACTTTAAGAATGGAGAAGGACACTCTAGCCTCTGATTTTAATGTAGGACATTTAGGACAATATACAAGATGAATCTTTACACTGTCATACAAAATTGATTTGCCCCTATTTTACTATTAATTCCAGTTCATGATTTGCCTAGGATTATGTGTTAATACAGACTTATAACTTAAAAATAGCATAGGTTTGAAAGTAAAAATGCAGACCATTCTAGAGGAGTTACAGCACTGTCATTTAAAAGTTTTATTTCCTGAGATACCATCACCAATGTGTTTAGTAATCTAATTACAAAAGAAAACATGATCTGGAGTACTATGAGAGGTTCTCAATTCTTAAAAAAAAAAAATTATCAAGAGTAGATCTTAAGAAGGGTGAAAAAAGTAATTGGGTGGATCTCGGTATGTTATGCCCTATAAAAACAAATACAATGTTGATAGTGTTAAATAATTTTAAAATAAGATTTAAAAAAACTAGAAATTACTAAAATTCCCAACATTGTAATATTATGAAGGAGAGACTGGTATAGACAAAAACTTGTGAACCAAATGCTAAAATAGTGAAGTATCTTTCTAAATACTTCAAGAACCTTTCTGATAAATACAATGAAGTACTGCTTTGTGTAATAAAATAATTTAAGAAAAATATTAAACCTTTCTGTTTAATATCTGCTAAAAATATGTATAGAGTAAAATATTAGTTGAGGCACATTTATGGATGAAAAGTGAAAATGAGATTGGAAATTGGCAATGGAATGTGGTAGAGAGACCGGTGGATGGAGATTTGGAGAACTGAATTTTAAGACCTATTTTTCCCTAACAAGGAAGTGTTAGGTGTTGAGATGTCAGGCCCCTGTGTTCCCAGATCTTGGGTCCCAGCACTGAAGAATGGTAACTGTTATTGAGGTGATGGAATGGATGAACAGAGGGAGCAGGTGTACACACGTAAAGTGCCACAGTTTCGTTAAGGCTTAGTACATTCCAAAGGAGGAATGAGTCAGCCCCTGCCAGTGGAGGGGACCTTGAGTTTAAGGTTTCTCCTTTTATGCTGATTCTCCAATTTTATATTTAAGTGGAGGGTGTATATTTATGGGTTATTTTGGATAAGGATAGAGAATTCCTGGAATCGGAAATCCAAACCATTCCATTTTATACCTCGAAAGGCAATTTCAGAGGGCTGCCATGGTATTTGTAAATTATCATGGTACTTCTGGGTGTGATTTTTACTGTATCCATGAGAGTAGGTCACTTAGGGACACTGTTACCTCAACTGTGCACATGCTCCAACGTCTGTCTATTACAGCTTTGATGATATCTCTATTTCATGGTATTTGTACCTCTTTCTAATTGGTCAGTACTTGGAGCCTCCCTGGACACATTATCTGTTCCTTCTTGGGAGCTCGTTTCCTAGAACCCCAATTAGACTGTTACCCAAACAATCCAAGTCGGTATGACCACATCTCTTGGTCTTTGGGAAAGGATCCTCATGACCCTGACAAGAGTATAGCCATCTTGGGAGGACAGCTAGTGATAGAACACAGGTCAGAGACCAAGTGGCACAGTCACAGCGACCCCCTCCCCATACTCCTGAAATGCTTCAGAGTTGGTGTTCCTGGGAACCATCAGAACAAGCCGTCTCGTATCCTGGTCTTGGCTGACACTAAAGATAAGAGTCTGGTGCCAGATCAACACTTCCATGGAAGGGAATAATTCTCAGGTTAGGCCCTGACACAGCATTATTCACTTCACCAAAAAAAGATGACTTCCCTCACCTCACATAACCCCCACCCACATTCCACATACACTAATGAAAGTCTCTGGAAACTGTGAGCTGGCAGGTGGCAGCTGGTCAGAATCCACTCTGCTTTTTCCTAAGAAAGCCTTTCTTTGATCCCTGGACTAGCCTCTGCTCCTTATTGCCAACCCTCACCCCAGCTTTACTTCTAAACCTGTCATTGTCCATGTCAGAAAGTCCCGGGACATTAATCAGTCCCCAAAACAGCCAGCTCCAAATAAGCCCCCTGCAAGGTGCTCTGTTCCCGTAACAAGTCAGACCCAAGGGAGTCCAAAACAGCATCCATCATCCACCTGCACATGTCTAATGAACTGCCTAAACTAGCACTCACATCCTTAGTTGGTAGGCCTAACTTTTCTGAATTTTGCTTGCCTTAGGGCTAAAATGATCAGACATAGTCTATTTTGTTAAGCATTAAAATACATTTTTGTTAGTCTTCCGTTTTTCTCCAAAAATCTGATAAAATTAAATAAAATGTAAATGATTGATGAGAGAGTGTAAAAGAGAGGAAGAGAAAGAGAAAGAAAGAGAGAGACCAGGAATGGGTAGATTTTGCTGAAGGAGCTGGGACAGCAAAAGTCCAGCCTGTTTGCCTATTAGTTATTCTTGATAGGTCTGAGACAACCCACAGAATACAGTTTGGAAATATTTACAGTCTCTCCTGTCAAATATATTCTATGATTCATGTCAATTGTTTTAAAGAGAAAAGAGAGAAAAATAAATGTTTGCCATAATATGCTCCTGGCTGCAGCCGTCAGAGGAGCCATGGTAAAGAACATGGAGGACATGTCTATGTCAGGGTGTCACTGTCTCTGTCTTTGTATCAGTGAACTGATGAAGTTTCTTTTTTCTTCTCTTTCTATTTTCTTAATGTCTATTAAATGAGCTCTTGTGTGAGGATTTATGATGCTAAGCATATTCTCCTGGGAGCTAAAATGTCTGGTATTGAGCAACTCATATAAATGCTAAGTGAATTACTTTTGCCATATATGAATTAGCAAATAAAACTTTCTCCTGAGAAACATTAGTAAGCTAATCAAAATTCCTTAGATAAACTGTTCAGTAATTTTATTTTTCTCTGATTACTATTCTCCCTCTTTTTTGTTGTCATTGTTGCTATCAGTCATGATTATCGGATCTCATGCAACAGTGTTGTCTTTGGATTTACTAATACTTAGAATTCGCTAATTATCTCTTTTAAAAGTCGTTTTCTGTGCTAATACTGTGGATTTGGAGTTATAATTATCAAAACATTAGAAAAGGATGCTCTTAATTTAATTGTGTGAAATTTCATTTGAAACCTAATTCTTTGCTTTTTTTTCAGGTTTTTGTGCTTTTTTTTTGTAGACTCTGAATTCACACTTTCAAAAGTCTTGGTGTAATACCAACTAAACTGATTTTAACAAGTTGATTTGTTTTACTTTCATTTACAGTGTTGATGTTTCTCAGAGGCAGAGTTAGAGCTGACTTTCCTGCTTTGGCTGTCTGTATTCAGAAAAGGC